TAGAATCACGCTAGGATCCGTAGGTCTCGTCACGGTGCAGCAGTCGAAGAAGCCACGACTGTTCATAAAAGAATATCCGGGTTGAGGTCTGGTGAGGAAAAGGGTCACTCTAGCGCAATATACTCATACTCTCCAAGCCATTCCAAGCCATGTGTCCCGCCTAGGCTTGGAATGGCTTGGAGAGCATGAGTTTATAGCACTCGAGTGACCCTCATCCTCACCAGACCTCAATCCGGATATTCTTCCCCACTAGTCTGGGCTTCTCCGATTGCTGCACCATGATGAGACCTGTAGATATTAATGCGATTCTATTAGTGAAAGGGTGCACAGTCGACCGTGCTATGTTACCCTAAGTTTCACAGCGGACACGCTAGTTTTCGCCACTCTGCTCGTAATTTTACCCTACAACGGTACGACGAAGACGATCCATGATAGGATGGGACTAATCGACTTATGACATCTTTGGCCACACCTCAACATGGCTAGTCTCAGAGATAACATTCAATCTGAAAACGTTCACAATACTATTGCATACGCTCAAATACTTCTCTATCTTCCTAGTGCTCACCCCCTTATGCAAAAGGGTGGGTCCAGGAAGAGTGCGAGAAGATCCCTGTAAAGGTTTGCACTAACCTCGTAGATATCATGCCTAGGAGGTTACAGGTGGTGATCAAGGCCAAGTGTTGGTAGACTAGGTACTAGAAACGCTGTGCGAAAGTTTGCTCTTTGTCCTGGGAAATAATTGTCCGGATGTACTCTTTGTATACCTTTTGGCACCAAGTTATATCCAGTGTACTATCATGGATTTTTGTATTGTGAACATGTCCACTATGTGCCCCTCCCAAAGCGTACCAGCATTAAACATTAAGACTTTATACACAATGGTCGAAAAGCCCAAAAACCCTGATTAATGCAAAACATCCGGACAATTGTTTCCGTCACTGTACATGAGACGGAGAAGATGAGTCGATTCATCCTAGGGCTAAAACAAGAGATCCAGCGCAAAATTTGCTTGCACTGGCCGGCAACGTTCATGGAAGTGCAGCAGGTTGCAGTGGCATGGGACGAGAACAACATGTTCTTGAGAGCAAATTTTCAAGAGGGAAGTCGTTTTCAAGGGCACAGTAACTACCCATCCATCAACTATGTTGCAGCATCGCAGACCAGAGATTTACTGGCCGGTGTTTTTGTTGTAACCAGCAGGGTCGCGTCATGCGGGATTGTCAAAAGATGCAGATTTCGGGAGCTCACAACAGAAGGAAGCTGAGAAGTGGACAGAGTCAGTAGCCATTGGGCCACCTACTCACGAGGCTTCATCGCCATAAGATCACCACTTCCCCGGGTAGTAGGTGATCAACCACACCCGGTCAACAGATTCACTGCCCTTTTACCGGGTGTGGTCGCCATAAGATCACCACCTCATCTATGCGATCGACCACACCCGGTAAAAGGGCAGTGAATCTATTGACTGCCCTGTGCTGGTGGAGGGGCACGTTGGCAATACTCGACTAAAAATATTCGTGGATGGTGTAGCATCACATAGTCTGTTCGATGTGATAAGAGCAAAGAAATTGCGACTGCAAATGGAGCGGTGCATGCCCAAGATTGATGCACGGTTGGTCGACGGCACGCCACCTGCAATCCGGGAGTAGGTGAAACATGTTCGCATTAATTGCGACAGCCAAGTCAGCTTTGCCAGGGGGAGAAGCAGCAGTCGCAGCACCAGCAGCAGCAGCAATAGCAGCCACAGTAACCTCAGCTGCAGCACCAGCAGCAGCCATAGCAGCTGCAGTGGGGTCCTGGGAGTTCTAAGCAAGGTGAGGGCCTTGATTGTTGGGCCCATGGGCCGTAGCAACCCTGGGGCTCATGTGGCTCCTCCGAGGGCTAGGGTGGTGTAGGGTCTGGGGGTCCCAAGCGTGGTGTGCACTAGATCCAGACCGGCCCTCAAAGCGGCCAGACATGCGAGCGCACGGGTCACACCTCCGCTCGCTGCTTTCGTCGTCAGTTTGGGCCCCTGGCGGCCCTCCCGGAATGACCTGTGCTTATCCATCGCATTGTCCCATTGTTTGAGTTAGAAATGGCTCAGATAGGCGTTGCCATGTTTTGTTTCTACTATGTGGATTATAGTGTGAATGAATCTTATTCTCCAGATGTGTGTAGACTAGAATCCTCTGCAGTGTGTAGTCTAGGTTCCTTTCCTTTGTGTAGTCTAGGCTCTTTGTCAGCCCCTGCTGAGGCGGCCCTCTCCTTCACTCTGGACTATGGCGCGTCACACTGCTCCTTCCAAGACCATACTGCACTCACGCCACTTCCTGTACCAGTATCGGCCTCCCTCGCTGACCGCCTGCCCCAATCGCTGCTCGCAGCACCACGGCTCTCCCTTGTCCGGCTGTCCCGTCCAGCTCCCTTACCGGCTTGCATATCCCTACGTTCTCTAGGAACCTAGTTGTTGTCAGTCATATACAGCACCTCCATATCACCACCATATTCCTGGCCACTTTTGACTGCAACCTTTCGTCCCGCCTCTTCATACTACACACAGAGTCCCCTTAGGTAGTCGCGTCCATTGAGACTGCTGTGTTCTGCTCCTGTCGCTCCCTCACCCACCCGGCACTCCTATGCCACCACCGTTTAGGTCACCCTGCTCTCTCGTGTCTGCGTTACATGGTACAATACGGTATTGTCGCTGGTCTCCCCACGTCGCTTCCCGCCCTCCCCGCCTCACTAGCGTCAAGGGCCGGCAGCACGCCGCCCCTCGCTCCTCCTTGTTTCCTCCCACTAGTGCTCCCCAATAGACTCTACACATAGATGTCTGGGGCCCTGCCCCAGTCCAGGGGCCTAATAGGGAGCGCTACTTCCTGGTTGTCATCGACAACTTTACCCGGTTTACCAGGGTTTTCTCGTTGGAGCAGAAGGGCGATGTGCCTAACGCACTCCTCTCGTGGCTCCATGTCATCCACACCCAGCGCTCCTTGCATGTGCTCTGCTTCACTCTGACCATGGTGGCGAGTTCACCTCCGGTCGCCTTGGTACATTCTGTCATGCGGAGGGAATCACCCAGACGTTCACCCTTCCAGACTCGCTGCAGCAGAATAAGGTAGGTGAGCGATGCATCGGCTTGGTCATGGAGGTGGCCAACACCTCCATGGTCCATGTCGATGCCCCCAATTTTATGTGGTCATTCATGGTGCGTTACGCGGCTCACCAGCTTAACATGTGGTCTCACTCCTCGCAGCCACAGGTTTCACCGACCCTCCTCTGGACTGGGTCTACCAGTAATGCGTCGACGTTCCACTTTTGGGGCTGCCTGGCTCACGTCCACGCCCCAGGCACTGACAAACTCTCAGCCCGCACTGTCCCCTGTGTCTTCTTTGGGTTCCTGCTCGACACTCCAGACTGGCTGTTCTACCACTCGGGACAGCACCGCTTCTTTCACTCTTGTAACGTTACATTCGACAAGTCCGTCTCCTTTGACGCTCGCTTTTTTACTGTGGCGCTCGTGTTCATCCTTCCCATTCCTTCCTCGCCCCTCCACCATCTGTCGCTCCTCTCCCACCGCACAGACATGGCATCTTAGATCCATTGGCATTTCGTCGACGCAGTTCCCCCCTTCGTGGGGCGAACAAAGCCGATGGCATGTGGATCTATAAGGTGAAGCGTCTGCCTAGAGAGTCGCCGCAGTTCAAGGCATGGTATGTGGCCAGAGGCTTCAGTCAGCGAAAGGCTGTGGACTTCGTTTAGACCTTCTCCCCTACTCTGAATATGACTACTCTTGGGGCGCTCCTCCACACAGCCGCGTAATGTGACCATGAGCTCCACTTTCTGGACTTCTCGAGCAGATCTGCTCTGTTGTGTCCTTCACCAAGCTTCAATGGGTCCTTCGCTCCTTGGGCCCAGTGGAGCCTGCGCCGCCCTATCTATGGTCTGCGCCAGGTGCCTCGTGAGTGGCACGACATGCTCCGCACTACACTCGCGGCTCTCTAGTTCTTCCCGTCCTCTGATGATCGATAATTCTTCGTTCATGTTGGTCAAACTCCGTTCTACATACTTGTGTACGTAGACGACCTTATATTTGCTACTCCAGGCAGAGTCGCACTGGCCTCAGTGAAGGCCTAGTAATGCTGCCCTGAGTTGCCTTGTTGCCCTCACCAGAGGTCAGACTAGTAGTGCTGCCCTGGTGTACTCTGGCTTTTTATGAACTGCCACTATCTAGGCTAGAGGGGTGTGTCAACAAATATATTTATACAGCTTAGCTAGGTCATATTTGTTTATAGCCTAGCTAGTTTATTTCTTAGTGAGTACAGCCCTAGTTTTGTATCCCTCGACATTTTCCCTTAGTCACAACTTTTTCCGCTACTCCAACACCATAGAATCATGGTTATATTTTTTAGGCCTTATTCCACCCACCCCATTTTTTTTCATGATTTCTTATTACCTCCCTAGGGTACGATATATCCGGAGGAATACGGTACTTTTTCTCTGTGGAATCTTCTCTTTGCATCACATATCCCAACAGACCCCAAGGCGCAACATGCTCTCGCGCTTGTAAATCTTGGAGTGGTAACAATGGCGCCTTTTACCGTAATCTCCCGGCATGAATACCCCCCCGAAAAAGGGACCATGGGGCTTCATTCCGGACACAGGGTCTTTTTATCGCAAATAACTCGTGAGGACCCGCATTCTAGGCTAAATCATTTGAATACCCCCCTTTCTTTGTTGTAGTGGCATATTTTCGCATGAGATTTTGCCATTTTCTTGGAAATGAGCCAGTAAACGCGTATGTTCCAGACGAATTGTCGGTAGATTCAACCCCCGGCGGTCAAGATGTTGTCTCGACATGCGAGTGCGGCGGTGAAGTTGGCATTGTCAACTGGCGACTACAAAATCTGACGCGTGGCCTTCTGGAGTTTGTTCTCCCTAGTAGGACCCCCCCGCAAAGACTCAAAAACAGATGCTACATGTACGAAAACCAGGCTCCTTACGTAATAAATAAATGAACATGGGGCTTAAAAATCACCTTCCATTTTGATGTCCACCCAGACGATTTTTCTTGAATATGTTGCAAGACCTAGGGTCCTATTGCCGGGAGATTACGGTACTACAAGGAGGGCTTAGCTTATGTAAGGTGCATACAGTAACAAGTACACCCTTCCCCAGTGCACCAGGGGGTTTTCCAACTGTAAGGGGTGCCTTCTGCAGCGGGTTACAACTACGGTACTGCTCATCTCAACTCAACACTACACATTGGCCTAAGCAGTGATAATGAGGGCAGCAGCAAGGTGTTCATGCAGTGAGCAGCAGTGGGCGCATCATGTCGTTCTCCTCGTGCTCCAGCATGTGGCAGTGCCACACGTACCCCGCCCCTGCTGTCGCATCAAACGGGAATGCCGACCCATCCTGAGCCGTAAACTTCACAAACAGCCGCAGCACCTGACCAGGTAGCGCTAGGGTCGTGTCCTTCCATCCGCTCTCCCACGGGCCTACCGCCTCCGCATTCCCTGTGTAGCAGCTGCGCTTGCTACTGCCGCTGAGAGCGCAGGTGCCCTTGAGGAAGGCAGCGGAGTTGAAGGGGCGGCGGGAGAGGGGGCGGTGTTGCACGAGGTGGATGTGGATGGGGTGGGCGTGCGTGCCCGTGTTCACTATATGCCACACCTCCGCCGCCCCCACCGCACCCACCTCTGTGGCTGCATCCATGAAGCCCTTGCCGTCTATGGAGAATCGCATCATCCCCCCCATCCCGCCACCCCCCATGCCCATTCCCATGCGCCCCCTGAAGCTGCTCCACACTTGATGAGCGGCAGCAGACAGGTTGCTCCCCACACCCTCCCGCCTGCCCCACAACTCTCCCATTCCCCTCCCCCTTCCCCCCATGCCGCCCATCCCTCCCCCCATGCCGCCCATCATGCCCGAGATGGTGAGGTAGCGCACTTGAGAGACCTCCGAGAGATCAATGGCGGGCAGCGCCTGCGGGAGGGATGGGCGAGGGGGAAGAAGATAGTCGGAGAGGGATAGCAAAAGGAGGAAGAAGCGGGGCACAGAGGGAAAGAGAAAACGTGCCAGGTGAATAGCTTGAATGTGGGAGCAGAGGGAGAGGGCGAGGCAGGGAGATAAAAGGGAAAAGAGGAACGGCAATGAGAGAAAATGTTGGCAATACACTTGAAGCAGATGAGGCGATGGGCTGCGATGGAGGGGGGATGCAGTTAGCATGGTGGGATGAGGTGAGTGATGAGCCCAGGCGTGTGAGTGGCGCAACAACCACAACCCTCCATGGCATCCCCGCCACGCCCATGCCCATGGCACCTGCAGTACGGCCGGCACAGCAGGTGCGGCCACAGCGGCCTCCTGTGCCACGGTGAGCAGCATCACCACCATCACCGCCTTCCTCACCCCCAGCGCCTTCTTGCGCCGCACCAGCCTCCCCACAGCCCTCCCTACTCTGCCCACCACCTTGCCCGCGCCACGCGCCACGCGCCCCATGGGGCCACCCATCATGCCGCCCATGCCGCCCGCCCCTGAGGGGAAGGGCGCGGGCGCGGTGTTGAGCAGCAGGATGTGGCGGCACGCGGGCGAGGGCAGCGCGGACAGGTCCAACAGCACGTCAGCGCGCTCCCCAGGGGCCAACAGCACTGACGACCGCCGCACGGGCGCCGCTAGGTAGCCCCCGTCTGAGGCAATCTGGCCAGGGCAGTGCATAGGGACGGAGGGAGGCGGAAAGAAGGGGAGGCGCACGGAGTTTCGGGTTCAGGGGGGAAACAGGGGTGCGGGGTGACTTTTGAGTCGTCTCAAAAGTCAGGGGGGAAACAGGGGTTGGGGAGGTGTGATTTGAATGGGCAAGAAAGGAGGCGGCACGTGTATGCAGCAGTGATAGCGGTGTCGTGCATGGACCCTATCTGAGGCCATCTGGCTGTACGATTGAGACAGGGCAAAAAGGGGGTGGTGCGCAGTGGTGGATACGGGGTGGTGAAGCAACTTGATATGAGTGAGACGGGTCAAGCAGGCAGGTTCCGAGTGAGGGCTGTTGAGTGATGGCGTGTTGAGTTGCACATCAGCACAGTGGGGGGCATCGGAGAGTGGGCGCAGTACTGGGATAGGCAGAGGGAGGCACAGGTGGCGGAGTGCATGTGTGCATGACGCGGGTGGCAAGAGCACGATGCGATATGATCGCGGTGACGGGTACGAGAACCACCAGTGCATCCTTGGCGCCCCTCCTGCCTCGCCACCCACAGATCTCCCGAGCACAGCATGGAAAGCACACTGGAAGCACGCCCCATGACCACGGGCTGCACAGCACAATGAGAAGCGCGCACCTGCAGCATGGAGAGCTTGGGGCCGTGCAGGGGCGGCAGCAGGTGGGGGTAGTCGCTGTGCGCAGCGCACTGGAAGTGCAGGCGGTACACGCGCGCATTGGCAGCGCCCAGCAGACGCAGGCGGTACAGACGAGGCTTCACTGACAGGAACGGCCACACCTGGCATGCCACCACACAGGGGGCGTGGGAGGTGCGGGGATGAAGATGAACCAAGCGAGGTGACATGTGAGGCGCTGGGAGGGGCGCAAGGAGGATGCCAGGTAGGAAGACGCACAGAGGGACTGGTAGGGAGGGCGTTGGGGAGGGGCACAAAGACAGTTGATGCATGAATGCCCCTTTTCCCCCTCTCTTGCCTCTCCACAACCACCTCCCGTGGCGTCACCTTGCCATTGACGACGTTCACATTCCCCAGGTATTCCATCTTCATGCTCAATCCCCCGCCCCCCATGCCCATGCGCATGCCGCTGTACACCACGCGGCCGTCCCGCCTGAACTTGCGATCCGCCAGCACGAGCGGCACGTCAAACTCGCCTGAGGGCAGCCACCCCGCCATGGGCTGCTCCACGCCGCCGGGGTCCTTGATGAGGTACAGCCCCGCCAGGCCCGCTGCCACGTTCAGGCGCGTCAGCCCCATGGCGTGATCGTGGAACCACAGTAGCGCGGGCGGCTGCGAGTTGGGGTACGTGCTGGTGGAGGAGGCGAAGGCTGAGCCGCTGTCGCCGTGCTGCGTGAACCACGCATGCGGGTGGCCGTCCGAGTCGCTGGGGGTCTCCGCTCCGTGCAGGTGGGGGGCTGGAGCGGGAAGAGACGGGCGGAGGAAAAGGGCGGACGGGCGGAGATGGGGGGGAGAGGGGGGAGAAGGGGTAGAATGGGGGAGAAGGGGGGAGAAGCGAGGAGAAGGGAGGAGAAGTGGGGGGAAACGGGAAGGAACGGTTGGTGTGTACTCGAATTCACATCCGCATGCGATTGAGAGAGCGGGGAGGAGATGGAGCGGCGGCACGTACACATGGGGATGCCTCCTTTGGCGGGGCTGGCGACGTGGGGCAGCGAGTAGTCGACGCCCAGCATGTGCTGCTGGTCGCTCAGGTGGTTCTCCCACCGCACCTGCCCAATGCCACACGCGCATGGTGGGCGAGGACGAGGGGGAAGGGGGCACTAGGTTTTGGGAAAGGAGGTCGCTCACTCACACAACAGGACCGCCACATGCAGTGTGTGCAGCCATGAGTAACAAGCAACGTGTATGCCATCGTGTATACGCGTCACAGCATGTGCCCCAACGAACCGTGGTGGGCGTGTGTCGGGTGGCCACGATCATGGGCCCGGGGTAGCTGGCGCTCTGCTCGTCCACGCCGTACACGTACACCTTCGACGCGGGCAGGTCGCGGTGGAACTTCTGCAAAAGGGGAAGAGAGGTGTGGGGGGAGGGTTGGGGGGGAAGGCAAGGGCGAGGAGAGGAGGGGGCAGGGGGAGAGCAAGGAAGGGAGGGAGGGAAGTGGGGTGGCATGTGGCATGTCGTCGGGGTGGATGGGTGCAACGAAGCTGGGTTAGCCGTGCGTAAGGGATCAAGGGATAAGGATAGCGAGGGGCGGTGCGTGGGCGGGGGTGAGCGCGGTGCGCACGATGCGTTTCTGGAACGCGCCGATGGTGACGGCGCTGCCCGTCGCGCCGTCCACCGTCACCAGCGGGGTGGCCGCCAGGTCGTCCACGAAGCGGCACAGCGCGCGCTTCGGAAACCCGTTCACGCACGCCGCGCCCCACGACGCCACCGCCGCCGGTGCCGCCAAGCACGCGACTGCTGCGGACGCGAGCACGGCGACGAGCAGCGCGCGCCCAGCGGCAGTGACGCGCGCGTTGGGGCGCGCTATGCCAAGAGCGATGGAAGGTCGGCGGCCGGTGCGCGGAGCGCGGCGAGTCACGGGCGGCATGGCCAGCGAGCCGGGGGGGACCTCGGGGTCGTCGGCAACGGCAACAACGCGCGAGAGCGGCGGAGGGGAAATGCCAGCGCGGTGCGGCGTGGTGGGGGGGAAGAGGCGCGAGCGCGGAGAGGAGGCGAGCGAAGGCGCGGTAAAGTAGTTGGAAATGGGAGGCACTTGACTTGAGGCGCTGGGCCGAGGTGAGGGAGGCACAACACGACGACGACATGCTTGTGCGCTTGCGTCCATGGCTGTCCCGCACGAGTTCCGCCCCCTGCTCCACACACCATACCGGGGCCTCTTTTCTCATGGTCCACGCACGAAGCTCTGTTCGGTTGGGCTCGGGAGACGGGTCATGAATGCGAGAAACCGCGGAGGAAGTTGCGTCAGTCCCTGCCCTTTACCGAGTTTTTGTAGATCTCTTGGGCGTTTAGATCGTAATTTGGGCAGGTAGCCCTTTTTCGCCATTCTTTTGTGAGCAAACAATTGTTTCGGTTTGGGTGCGAGCTCGATTATGATCACGTGGGCTGCAGAACGGGGAAATGATCAAAAAGGGTCCTCGCTTTGCCAGAGGCGTGAGCATTTTCTGCTCCAGGGACCTCGCCTCTGAACCTGAAATACACTTTTTTTTTTAGTACTTTAAACATTTACGGGACGTTTGCGGTACCATTCAACATTTCTCAACGGGCCAAAAAAAAAAAACCCATTGGGGACGGAATTCCGTTCCGGATGGCATCAACCCTAAACACACGGCCCTCTTGCGAGTTTAGGGTTGATGCCACACCAAGTCGCATGCGTTGCCCCTATGGGTTTTAGTTTTTTTTTGTGCCATAATACAGTACAAGTGGTATGCTCTATGATCCAGATCCGCGACTCGCAAATATGGACTACGACGAATAAGAGCGGTTCACTACAGGCAAAATGGATTATCGAGTAGCACGTACGGTTTTAGGTAGGGTGGCATAGGCCGGTTTACTTTTTTTTTGTTTACGATGGGTGCCTTGGCGTATTGGCCCTTGGGCCAGGTTACCAGCGACTTCGCCGCGTGTCATGTAAGGGCTCATGTGGCTTCTTAAAAAACGTTCAGCAAATTTGTCGTCTGGTCAGAATTACCGCGGACAATAGAACTAACACCTCGTTCTCGACCTTCCGCAAGCAGCGTAGGCTGAAAACGTGCAAATCATATAATTTGAAAAACCCTTTTCGTGGTCCCACAAAAAGGGCTTAACGTAACGAAATTATGACGACTCGCCTGAGCGGTTTCGTTAACCAATCACACAATTTCACGAAGGTGAAAAAAACCATTTAAGAAAAACATTTTCGAGATGTGCATTGGTTAATGGTGATTGAAGGATCGTGGGTCGTGTTTTCGTATTCGGGACGGACCTGTTGGTGTTCGCGGAAAGCCTGAATATTTACGTCATTGGTTAGAAAATATGGAAAACGACTCGAATGTTCTTGATATGAGGATTAGAATAGGACCGAAATAATAAGACAGAATGGATAAAAAGGGGGTACGGATTCATGCCCAAGTCAGCGCGCATACAAAAGTGCCAGGTGGACGGGGGTACCCGTTGGTTGTCGCCCCCCGGTCCGTCGTGATTACGTCTGATCGCCCTGGCAAGCGCGTATTGGCCGGGCAATTCCAAGCACAATTCACAAGAAATTTCCGAGCTCGCACTCGCGGGTTGGTTGGCGACACTCGCATGCTGGGATCGCACCTAATTCGGGTGGCGCGACTCGATGTTCGGTGGCATTATGCGACTGTCGTGATTGGTCACAATGTTTTATTGCGTTTTTTTAGCGAAGTCAACAGTAGATGTATAACGTACAGACGGAGTACATCGTGGCCGATCTTATCGAATTCCGGACCTTGGATTATTACATGGAGTAAAATGTCGTGGACCTAATGGCATACCCGTTGTACATTGAATTCGTTTAAAGGTCCCACGACAGGGTTACGACACGAAGCGCCCCCATGAACCTGCAAATTTGTGATCCTGTGATGTGTGCGTATTGTATGACGAATAAGGTGTAGTACAGGCTCGGAGACGAGGTCTCGGGGCAAATAGCTGCCGGACCTTTTTTGCTCACGCCTCTGGCAAAGGGAGGACCCTTTTTAATCATTTCCCTGCAGAACAATCTATATGAACCGCGCCCTTACCGCACTTTGGCATGTGACACCTACTCCAAGGGCGGGCGAGACACGTGGGTTGGCCCGCGAAACGGGCAGCATTGATCGACGACGGAGGGAGGAGAGGAGAAAGGAACATTCCGCGGTCGGAGAGGATGCACGCCAAAGCTTCCCCATAGATGCAATGCAACACATCCCGCCACGAGCTTTTGGGCAGGCAGGGTGACATCAAGAGATTGCGGCTCACCCTGCCCTGCCCAGCCCATTCGCCGTGCCAGCTGCACCACGTGCGTGACACGCCTCATTTGGGTTTGGTGGGTATAACGTTCTCCAATACAACTGGTGGTAATGAAACCGTATAATTGCAAATGACACCCTAGAAATCTAAGGAAATCTCAAGCACGTTTTAGAAACGTAAAAAAACATAATATTAATGCAGCATGCGGATATGGATCACTATTTTTACACCATTAAAAACACCAAGGGCTTCACAGATCAGCCACATAAGTTTACCGCACCACTAAATCAATACCAACCAAGCAAAAAAAAGGCTCTGGTATGTTACTGTCAAGTAACAATATATACATATCCTAGTTAGAGTATATTGTCAAATATATCCTTGGTATGTTGTTATAGACTACACAGGGTTGTGCCTTACAGAGTACTGTTTGAATAATGGAATGAAATAGAATGTGAGAGTACAAAAGAATATACGCTAGTGTTGTACCCTCTAAGGCACAAACCTATACAGTCTACAATAACATACTAAGATATGTTTCGACACACACCCTAGACTGTATAGGGGCAGTGCCTAACAAACGGACAAGCAGCTCAGGGTGGCACTACTAGTCCAGCCTCTGAGTCAGGGGTCTAAAGACCAGTCAAACGAGTACAAACTGAGACAAGAGCAAGACCAGGGCGGCACTACTAGTCCAACCACTGGGAGAGGCCACAAGGCCAATCAGAGCAATATATATATAAATATCTATACACAATCACGGCCCTAGCAAATGAGACGCTACGGGAACAAGGCCAAGCTGTACACACTGCCGCTGATGATCTCTAGGCGCAAGCGCCTTCGTAAAGATATCAGCTGTGTTGGCACCGGAGGCCAAGTGTACTACGTGGGCCTGGTGGCGCTGCTGTAGCTCGCGCAGGAGGAAGTACCGCAACTGGATGTGCTTCGCTCTGCCCTCAAGTCGAGGCTCCTGACACAGGAGGATCATGGCCCTGTTGTCAGCATACAGGACCGGGGAAGAACTAGGCCGCCATGGTGAGCAAGAGGGTCAGCGAGCGGAGCTCCTGTGCCGCCATGGCACAGGCGTAGATCTTAGCCTCACAGCTGGACTAGGCAACAGATGAGGAGCGAGTAGCTCTCCATGAAACAGCACCTGAACCAAGGCTAAAATAGTAGCCCTCGGAGGACCTAAGGGTCTCAGCGTCATATGCCTAAGAAGCATCTGTGCGCCCAGTAAGGACCACTGGCCTGCGTCCTCCAAGCACCAGCCCCATGCCCGATGTACTCGCAAGATAACGCAAAACCCTCTTAGCGGCCGACCAGTGCTGAGGTCAATGTTTGCCTGTGGCCACAAAGCGAGCCAGGATGCTGAGAGGGTATGCGAGATCTGGGCGAGTGCAAGTCATCAGGTACATGAGGCAACCCACCAACTCAGCGTAGGGACCACTGTGCTCTGCTGACTCCTCAGGAACAGGAGTTGAGAGCTTGTGGTCTACTAGTAGAGGTGTGGGCTGTGCGGAGGAGAACTGAAGGCCGAACAGCTGAAGGACATGGCGCACCAAGTGTGGCTGTGAGAGAGTGATGGTGCGCGTTGCTCTGTCTCTGGAGATCTGCACGCCAAGGTAGTGGGGCAGTTCTCCAAGGTCAGTGCAGGTGTGTCTCTTCAGCAGCTCTGCCTTCACGAAGGCCAGTGCATCCCTGTCTGCCGTAGCGAAGACAAGGTCGTCGACGTAAACAAGGATGTAGAACGGGGTCTGGCCTGCACGAACAAAGAGCGAAGGGTCAGCAGAGGACAGGAAGAACTGCAACTCAGCTAGTGTGGCACGCAGTGTGTCGTACCACTCACGGGGGGCCTGTCGCAAGCCGTAGACTGGACGCTGTAGGAGCCACTGGGTCCCAGGACGGAAGGTACCAGTAAAGCCCTGAAGGCGAAGTAGGTAGACCTGCTCGTGTAGGCTGCCCTAAAGAAACCAAGTGAGTCTAGCTCGTAGTCGCGTTGAGCTGCTACGTGAAGTAGCACCCGAAGAGTAGTCCTCTTTGTGGTCGGTGCGAAGGTCTGGAAGAAGTCCACCCCCTCTCGCTGACTGAAGCCTCTAGCCACATAGCGCGCCTTGAACACAGGCGGCTCTCCAGAAGAGCGCTTCACCTTGAAGAGCCACCGGCCATCGACTACGTTCACCCCAGGTGGGGGAACTGCGTCGATGTAGGTTCCGGTGGATCTCCAAGATGCCATCTCCTGCTCCATGGCAGCTGTCCACTGAGAAGCCCAGGGTCCCGAGGTGGCCTCAGCGTAGTTACGAGGGGTCGGGATGTTGAAAGCGTCTGGGTCACCCTCAGGGATTCGTAGCATAAGAAAAGAGATGGGGAGCAGCCTCGGACAGGAAAGCAAGTTCGTACTGTCGGTCCTCCAAAACGTCACTGCCGAGGGCAGGAGCACCCCGGACGGACGGAGGACAGGCAGGGTCAGAGACCAGAGAGGTGGCGTAGTCAAGGCGGCGGGTAGAGGTGAAGTCAGCGACAGCAACGACAAGTGCGTCAAGAGACGAAACATGAATAGACGGGTCGGTAACGTGAGAGGCAAGGACCCGAGAAACAAGAGGGTGGGCGGTACGAAGGTAATCAGACAGAGGGGGAGGCGCGACAACAAGAGAGGACAGAGGAGGCGATGGCAGGAGGGGAGGACGAGACACGTGGGAACGAAGCAACATAGGGTGAGAACGCGAGACAGGGGAGACCGGACGGGCACGAGAGGGATGGCGGGCCCAGACGTGCGATGGAGGCGTCGGGTGTGGAGATAGGGGAGGAGACACAAGAGGGGAACGAAGGGGAAGATGAGCCGGGGAGGATTTCGGAGGAGGGAACATAGGGCCGTAGAAAGGAAGAGAAGGAGACGGTAAGAGAAGGGAA